ATTATATTTTTCTACCCTCCTCTTTTGCAGACTGTCAAATATTAATATCGGACAGTATTTTCTAAAGTTAATGAACACTTTCTAAAAAATAACACTCTAAATAGGATCTTCAATAAGAACACGATTAATATTAGCTACTCCTGTACTAACAAGAGGTATAAAATTATTAATTCACACAATAACCATATTTTAAGAAATTTCTATGGGACAAATAACACACCTGATATTGAACCCTTCTGTAATTGTAGATCTAAAGAAAATTGTCCAGTAGAGAGAAAATGCATATCTACAAGGGTTATATATATTAAGGAATCACCCCCCCTAAAGAAAATATGAAAAATTATCACGTTTACATTGGAATTTCCACGGGAGAATGGAAACAGAGATTTTATACCCATAGGCACTCATTGAATGGGGAATTGAAAGAGAAAGGTTTGAGCCCACAAATAGTATGGAAGGTTATAAGTTCTACAATTACTCTTAATAGTCTCAGAGATAGATGTGACTTATGTTTAGAAGAAAAAAATTAGAATAATAAAATACAATAATCAAAGCCAACTATTAAATCAAATGAATAAATTAGTGTTAAAATGTCGACATAAAGACAAATTCAAATTTCCATAATATAGGTTTAACATTTCCATAATATTCACTCTCTCAACTCTTCAAATATAAAATTTATAACTAATTCTAATTTCTATATTCCCCCTCTATAACCTCTTTACCTATATTAATTATAATATAGTTTCCCCTATTCTAAGATCTCCCCAAATCTCTTTCCATTAATCCCTTACATCCTTTAATCTATATATTTTAATTTTATTTTAAAACCCCTCTTTATTCCTCTTAATTTTAAATTAATATTTCATTCTTCATATAACTCCAAAGGAATGGCATAATGTTAATATTTTTGGTTTAATTTTATAAAATTTCTTCCTTTTAAGACAAACACCTTCCACAGTCCACACTGGGGGGGTATATATATATATATATATATATATATATATATATATATATATATATATATATATATATATATTCATGAATCATTCATACAAAAAATAAATATAGAGGTTAATGATTTAATTGGCGAGAATACATCTTCGCAAACAATATAAATAAGATACATCAACCCCAAACCTGTATATGAATGATATGATCCCTGTTTATAAATTCCAGTTGCATAAGGTCTTTTAATTTTACAAGCTTTCGTCTGTTCATACAGACATCCTCAGGTATGGAAATAGATTTTGTTCTTGTTTTTACTTCTCGGTAATAAGAGGACAACGAAAATAGAGATGTAATCCGAAAAAATGCTGTGAGAAATGTGTTATTGTTTTGGAATTTATTAGGTCTGTTTTAAATACGCAAGTACTTTCCACTGTACATTCAGTCATCTTCAGTCATAGAAATTATTTTGTTTTTGGTAAAATTCAGGTAGCATCCGAGACAAAAAAATATATATGTGAATCGAAATATATATATATTTTTTAATGTGTTATTTATAACGTATACAAACTTTTGGAGCGTGCAGTCGCAACGCTAAGGTTGAATTTCTGTTTAAAATTTAAGAGAGTGTGTTTTTTTTACTAATATGGCAGTTTGAGAATTTTTTGTTGCAGGAGTTTATCAGCCAATGTGCCATGAACTAAATTGTTCAATAAATAGAGTAATGTCTCAGTTGGTATCCCGAAAATTTGCACGTTGGATCAGTTCTTTTAAATGAAACATGTAGTGCAGGTATCTTCGTCTGCCGAATTAGGCTATTCCCTATCCTAGGTGATTTTGGATATTACTGTTTATTATATATATATATATATATATATATATATATATATATATATATATATATATCAAAGAATGGATTTTATTAATCCGGCAATTTTTTTTCACTTTATACGTTATTTTTAGTGCATACGCTGACAGGAGAAATTTCGCTAGAAAACATGAAAATTAAACGCGCCTGACCAACTGTTTTCCGTAGCCAAGTCTATCAGGCGTACCGGGTTCCCTCTGCCTTTTTACAGCAGAGCTCAAATTTTCCTTTAATAATAATAACTTCTCAAACATTACGTAAACGAAAGTAAATCAATATACTGTATAATAAATACACATCTGGCCTACTCAAATAGGAATATTCACTAAAAATAACATTTAAAGTCATATGTATAATAATAATAATAATAATGATAGACTCTCCCGTCGGTTTCGACGTATGAGGATCTGACAGCTTCATTGATTCAGTTATGAAAGTTTGTGCGATGATCTTAAGTGGCATTTAAGACCCGCTAGTGATTTACAAAGGCGGCCACATATGGAGCAAGTGTGAGGATTGTGAGATGAGATCACTGTTAGATTGGCTGACCTTTTAGATCTTGCTCTCGCTTCTTGAAGATGATTCAGACAAACAGATTGCTGCGTCCACTAAAACACGTTGATCTCTATTCTACCCGCTCCAAGGCTAAACGCTCAAGGGTGTTACGTGGTATATTGACTGCTG